GGCTAGGTCTTCCTGGGGCTTTGTTTTCCTGGTTAAAAACCTTTCCTGGGTCTCCCAGCAGGCCTGCCTCCCTCTTCTTTCTAAAGAACCTCGTTAGAATTAAGGTACTTAGTTGTTAGTATCTTTTGCCTCAAGGAAGCTTGGGCTACAGCTTCTGGCTTCACTGGTTAGGGCCTGTGTCAAACCGGCTTATCCCCCTTGACCTAGCAACTAGACAACTGCCTGTTTCCCCTGCCACAGCCCAAGGCAGTGAGGAAGGAATCAGATAAACCTTGAAAGAAGGTTTCTTTCAGCATCCCCTTTATGATAGATAGCTGGGCACAGGGCAAATCACAGCCAGCAGGGGACCAGTAGGGATTTTAGGCCAAGTTGGGGTCCCTGTAATGGGAGAATGTCACATAGCTGAGCCCCCAGCACCCCTGTATGTGGGGGGGTGGGAACAGGTGAGGAGGATTTGATCAGACAGCTCCAGGGAAGGGTGCAGTGGGGCCATGGGTAGGGTGCCATGGGGATTTGGTGGTGGCAGAGAGAAGGGATGTGAGCTTACATTTTAAAAAAATGGTAGTGGGTAAACATCAACGTAAACCTGCCCAGGAAAATAGAGCAGGACCTAAAAATTTAAAAAACCATAACAAAATAGAGCTCTAACTGTAAACTATGGAAAACAGGCTCAGGGAGCTTCAGGGGGCACGTGCCCTTCAAGATGCCTGTCCCGCTGCTCTCATGTGTCAGAGCATAGGCTTTGGGGTTTCCTGGTGGTGCTGCCACTGTTGCCTGGATTTGGGGACCTGTCCTTGCTTTGGCCTTTCTTCTTGGAGCCAGGGTGAGGGGAACAGGGGGCTTTGAGCCAGCACTGCATGTTGAGGTCATGGCAGAAGCAAGGCTCAGAAGGAAAAGGAGGACGGGATGTCTCCTGGGACTGGAATCTGCCCACGCCTTGGGCTGGGACCCAGCCCTGCCAATCCCCACGACCACCAGCCTGAACCCCTTGAAGTGGAATTTTCATTCCCTCCTGACCTTATCCACCTTCTTAACCAGGCCACAGCCAGTCAGCACTGCCTCCTTCCTCTGGATAGACAAAGAGCCCTGAACAGGAAGGGCTCCATCACTTACAGGCTGTGTGACCTTACCCTCTGTGGACCTCTATTTCCTCATCTGTAAAGTGAGGGGCTTGGACAAGTTGAGCTCTAAGGCTTCTTCCAGCTCTGATGGTCTGTGACTGGTAATATACCCAGAGCTCAGGACAGGATGTCCCATTTATTAACCCCTTTTTCTTCTGGGGAAATGCAAAAGAGCAGTCAAGGCAGTCTGGAGAGTGGGTCTCACCAGGTGGTTCAGGGTATTCCTGGGAGCAGGCAGGGCTACATTTATCCTTTGCCTTCTCAGAAGCCTCCAAATTCCAGGACACAAGGAATTAATGCTGCATTACTCTCCCAGGCCTGAGTGAGCCCATGCTGGGACAGCAGGGCCTGCAGGTGGCGGAGGCGGCCCTAGGTCTGCAGCCAGAGCTGGAGGAAGAGTGGGTGCACGATTAGCTGTCTCCTGCCCAAACCCAGGAGGGACTGTGCAGAATGGGTCTTGGTGGGGTGGGGGACCTCCCCAAGATAAGCCCTTTAGTCACCCAACAACCTGAAGTGGCTCTGTCACTCTGGGGGTGACAGAGTTGGGTTGGCAGTGTTGGCTGAGAGGGCAACGTCACCTGGATGGTGATGGCCTCAGGCCAAGGCTGGTTCTTCTTTCCACCAGGTGTCCCAGCATCTTGACCCTTTTAAGCTCCCACCCTAGCAGCCTGGAAAAAGCTGAAGGGGCGCAGGCTCCTGGCCTTGCCACCTGGGAAGGCAGGGGCCTCTAGGGAATCATCGAAGACAATGTCAGGTCCAGCTGTGCTGCTCCTCAAGAGGAGAAGGAAGGAGAGGTCTTGGTCCCAGGGCTCGCCCCTCTCTCTAGATTGAGCGAGGTTGGTGTTTACGCTCTGCCCCACTTCTTCAGCCCATTCATCCTGGTATTCCTGCTCTCAGGTGGCAGAGTCCATATATGGTCCCAGAGTGCCATCTCTGCGGATTTGAAGATACGTATTTTAAACCCCCTTCTTCCCAAAGGCCTGTTCCTTCCATCCAGGCACTCAAGGGGGCCCGGTCATAGGGTTCAGTATCATCATGGAAGTTACTGCCTGGTGCCTCTTGTCTTAAAAAACATCCTCACGTGGGTTCTATCCTGTGGCAGAATATGAAATACCCTACCTCCTACAAAAAGGGAACTGTTTAAAGTAGGTATTTAAAACCAACCACTCTCAGGCACAGTGTTGGGCCACCTTGGGATTGGGAAGGGGCCAGAGCCAGCTGTCTGTCCATCGGAGGTGGGTGTCCAGCTCTGGCACAAGAGGAGCAGCACAGAGATCAGAGTTCCAGGTAGCCTATGAGGATCAGCATTGCCATGGAGTGGGAGAGGATGGTGCTGGGATGGGGCGCTGGGCAGACTGCTGAGTTCTCCACCATCATGCTTGTGCCTGAAACCAGCAGGCAGAAATGTGGCACCAAGTCAGCTGGGCCTGGGACCAGCCCCACCCTCACCCCAGGACGCAGACCTTTCCTAAGGAGACTCACGGAAGCCAACTGCAGCCTGGGAGTGTGGCTGGCTGGGTGGTATCCTCAGCCCTACTCCTGCAGCATTTGTAAGCCCTTTGCCTTTGTTGGTTCGTCTTCAGATTACCCCTGCACCCCACAAGAGGAGCCCACTCACTACCCTGGCTCTCAGGGATATATTGGGGGGTTGTGGGGGCAATTCCAGGACTACTTTGTACTTGGGTCCTGCCTGCCCTCCCCTTTCCCTTCGGGGTCTCAGTTGGAGTTGGCTTGGGTGGGAATGACCCCGACCCAACCAGGCATCTGGGTGAACCCTGATACTCTTGGGGGATATGGATCGGGGATAGACAGCACCTCCATTCCTCACAATGTGGACTTCTGCCGGGGTCCCATCCCCTCCAGGCCCTGTGGTCCGAATCTGTACCAGGGCATAGCCAATGTCTTCAGGTACTGGGATTTCTATCCAGTTTTTGCTGGTAAGGTGCAGCGTGGGAGTTGGGTGTAAGTCATTCTGGTACAGCATCTGTAGGAAGGAGGTTTCCAGGTGGAGTTTACTTACACCAGGGCTGATCCTTCTGTCTTCCCCAGCTCTAGTCACTGGGAGGAGCCCCTAGAGTTCTGGACCCTCAAGGTCCTGCCTCCTCACCCTTCCTGTTTCCCACTGACCAAGCTCCTCATTGCCAGGAGCAAAGCTTGCAGGCAGCAAAATGTCTCTGCAGACCCTCAGGCTAGAAGGAGCCCTGGACTTCACAAACCCTTCTTACGTCTCACTCAGGTCCCTCTTGCTATAAATGGCAGCCCCCTGTGTTCACTGGAAAGATGCAGGAACTGTTCCTTACCATTCCAGTCTGGCTGATCCCTTCCTCACCTTATAGCCAGTGACTGCAGACTCATTTCGGAGAGGGACCACAGGGTCCCACTTAATGCTAAGACTGGAGCTCGAGAAAGTCCAGGAGATGTTGCCAGGAGGTCGCCGTGGAGCTGCCAGGCGAGAGAGAGTTGGGGAGACTTCCAAACATTTCCTTGCCCCCCACCCCTTGCCTTCAGCCAGCCCTTCTCTGGATCTCTGCCTATAGCAGTTACACCCAAAACATTCTGTCACCCTGGCCTGAGAGACAAAGCCCAAGAAATCCAAAGGTTGGAGAAGAGAGGGCTAGAGCATTTGTCTTACCACTGGGGAAAGAGTGAGCCTAGAGGAACCCACCCCCCAGCACCTCCCAACCGCATCTCAGGCAGATGGACTCACGGGGCTTCATGGTTGTGGCGTTGGTGGAGGGGCTGGCAGGCCCAGTGCCAGCCCTGTTGTAGGCCCGCACAGTCACGTGGTACTTGGTGTTGGGGTGTAGGTCAGTGACGCGGGCAGTGGTGTCCAGCCCTGCTGTCCTTACTCGATCGGCTGCTGCTTCTTTGTCCCCAGCTTTCCAGTAGCGGATCTGAATGGGACAGGGTACCCCTAGGGTCAGCAGTCAAGCCCAGGATCTCAGGGGCACCCTGACCCTGGCTCCCACATTGTATTCCTCTCCTGCTCATCCTGGTCTTTGTGACTCAGCCTCAAGCCTCTGAACCTGGACACTAGATCATGAGCAGCAAGAGAGCAGGGCCACGTGGGTGTGAGCACCCAGTCCAAGGACAGTGCTCAGTGCATGGGCGGGATGAGGGAGTGGGTGAGTGGGTGGGTACTAAGTGGAGGTGGGCACAGGCTCAGCTTAGCTATGGCCTGCTGGCACCCAGCCTCATTTCACTAACTCAGGGGCTACCGTGGGAATCAGCTAAGGGATATGAAATGCATATTTGTACTTGCAAAGTAACACCCAGTCCCCAGCCAGCTTATGACGGCTGCCCAATAAATGCAAACCCATCTTATATTAGTAATCATAATATTAAGACCTGCTGAATATTCTTCTGAATCAAGGGAAGAGTTTTCAATTACCTCCTCACTGTGACTTTCCTAAGCTATTGTGCTAAAATCCGGAGCTGAATCTACTGGGATGAATTTACACTATCACTAGTAGGCCCAGCCTGGTGATTCTCCCTCAGGCAAAGACATTTCTCGCTTTTCTTTTTTTCCCTCCCTCTTGTTCCCTCTTCCTCTCCATCTACTCCACAGGGACCCCCATCAGAATCATCAGAGGGCCCAGGGCTCCCCAGGAATGAGGCGATCAACTGGTACATAGAGGGGGGTGGTGCTGTTCTTTGTGCAGCCCTGGGGATGCAAAGCTGAGTGGGCGCTAGCATGGGGGGGCCATGCTCTTCCCAGCACCCACCACCCCACCCCGGCCTCCCTGCTTCCACTGCTGGTTTGATCCAAGAGTTTGCTCTGAGGCTGTCTGCAGGTCTTCCCTGGTGGGCGTCAGCCACAGGGCCTCTGTGACATTTGCATCCCAGTGCTACCTGGACTGGGTGCTGTTTGCCCCATCGGCATAGAATCAATTCCAGGAAGAATGGCTAGTGAGCTGGAAGGGGTCCGCACCTAGCCCTGAAGCCGAGCACCCCTTCCTCTCCCAGGCCCCGGCTCGGTGCTCACCTCGTATCCCAGGAGGATGCCGTTCATGTCCTGCTGCACAGGTTCCCATGTCACGTTCATCTCTGAGGATGAGATCCCCTTGGCCCAGACCTTGGTAGGGGCCACCCTGGGCTCTGGGGACCGACACAGAATGGGTTTGGATTCCCGGCAGCCCCCAACCGGAACTGCCTTTTTGCTTAGGATTTTGGAGGAGAGCCCAGGACCCAGGACGAAGGACAGGGGGAGCTCTCAGAGCATCCCCCGGGGCCTGCTTCTCTTCTCAGAGCGGCTCCCACCTCCTTCACCCAGCACTGAGGGGAGCAAGGGGGCAAGAGCCCAAAGTGAGGCCAGTGGCTTGGAGCCCAGGTGTCCCCTCCAGCTCCTAATAGCAAACCAAGCTGGGGAACCAGTAGCCTTCTCCCCACCCACACCCCCAAGGACACGTGGCCGGGCTGGGGGTGAGTGGTGGCCCAGGGACGGCCCACCTTCCTCAGCCGAGTACACGAGCGCAGTGAGGCTCTCGGGCCCGTCCCCACGGCGGTTGTAGCTGCGGATCTTGACCTCAAAGGGTGTGTAGGGCCGGACGCTCTCGTTGCTGTAGACGAAGTACTGGGCGTCGGCGCCGGGCACCCGGGCGGTCTGCCAGCTGCTGCTGCCCTGCCTGCGGAAGGACAGCAGGTAGCCGAAGCCGTCTCCGTTCTGGTACTCCCGTGACACGGGCTGAGGGGCAAGAGCGTGGCATGGGCGAGGGGCCGCGGGCACGTTTCCCTGCCCATCCTCTGGCCCCACCCAACCTTCACAAGAGGGGCAGCCCCGGGCGCCTGTGCCTGCGGTGGCTTTATCCTGCACTGGATTCGTGTGACGGGCAGCAGGTGCAGGACAGGGAAAGAGGAAGTGGTCTGCTTTGAGTTAGAACCGTGCAGGGGTCCTTTCTGCACACTGCTCCATCAGATGGGTCAGGAAGGGAGCAGGAGGACAGCTTCTGTCCCTGCCAGCTTACTGTCCAGTTGACGATGAGCTCTCCTGGGGCTCCACCACCTCCGCTGAGTCCTGAGGGTGCCACTGAGGGGGCTGTCAGGCACCAAGGGACACAGAAGTGGCATGTTAATGGGCGATGAGGGAACCAAAGCCCTGAGCCTGTGCCTGTAGAGCATCCTAGGACATTCCTTCGATGGGCCCTGGTTTTGTCCCTCAAACAGTCCCCCTGAGCATGGGCACTGGATTCAGGCAGACCTGAGATCAATCCCATCTCTGCCATTTACTAGCTGTGTTTCCCTGGTCATGTTACTTAACCTTTCTGAGCCTCTGATTCTCCTCTCTATAAGACAAGGATAATAGTGTTTCTCTCGAAGGCTGTATGAGAATGAAATTAAACAAGACAGTGGTTAGCCGATCGTAGATCCCCATAAATGATCATTGTGCTCCTCACCCCTGTTGGCTTAAACTAAATCATAGAGGCAACCCCAGGTTTTTTTAAAAAAATTAAGGGGAATAAATAACCCAGAAATGCATTTAATGCCAAAAAACAAAAATGAAAACATTTCTCTTGGATTCCAGAGTGTTTTATTACTGTTTTTCCTCTTGTGGCAGATTTAATTTCCTAATTGTCTCTAGTATTGGACAAGGATGATATTAAAACAGGAATGTATTCCATCAACTCACCTAGCTTGACAGGCAGTAACTTCGCCGAGGGTCAAAATATTTCTTTTTTCTTTTTAAAGATGACCAGTAAGGGGATCTTAACCCTTGGCTTGGTGTTGTCAGCACCACGCT